TGATCCCGCAAGACCAACACCCATCCTCAATTCGGAGGTACTACACCCCTAAGGGCCAAATCATAGGTAGCCGCCTCGCACGTGGCATAGAGAGGGCCTCAGCTGTCACCCCCATTCTATCTTATGATTAATACTCACCGAGAGGCCTACACCACGCCACAACGTTCGGTGGACATGAAATCCCCTCGGGCCAACTCATAGATAGAGCCTCTCAAGTCGCTTGGCACTTAGTGGGGCCTCACCAGTCACCAACCTAGTGTAATTGCTTCGCCACGGAGCGGCACTAGCTAGTCAGCCAGCATGCACACACACTCACACTCACAAAACAAAAAAAAATAAAAAATTCTAACATAACATCTCCTTTCACGCACATAGTATGTCTAACGATTCAGTTCAAGACAAAGAGCTATCACTTGCCAGCACTCCCTCCAGACCTGGCACTCAGCCAAGACAGTCCAGTACGATATCCAGCTACAGATCCTGGACTGTTCCAAAAATCACAGCCGAACTGAATAGAAGAAACATCCCCTTTCCGGCTACTGCCAGGAAAGCCGAACTCTTCCGTTTGTTAAACTCCCAAAACGTTGATGAGTTACCGGGCCCTAGTTCTGATTGTACAATTCAAAATAGTTTGGCAGAATTACGAAGTATGATGACCCCCCGTGGTGGCTTCAGTAGCTACTATAAATAACAGGTTGGATAACCTGGAAGCCACTAGTCAAACTAGCATTCCGGAAGTACAAATTCCACTAGGACAACCCGAAACAAGCTCAGGAGGTAACGCCAATCCATTTCTTGCTAAAACATCTAATATCATCAACCCAGAACATTTGATACCACAAAATTTGAAAAAAGAGACATACTAGAAGGGAAAGATGTTAATTTAGCTTCTCTCCTCATTGCCTCACAGGATATAATCAAAAACAGAGCCTATACTTTCAACGATATATCCATGGTAATGAAAGCTAGAGATCCTAGGCTCAACAAAAAGCTAAATATTCCTGAGTTTGTGCTAGCTTTTGGTTTATATAGAGATGCAATTTGCACTTCTTTCCCACACCGTAGAGAAGAGCTGGATCTATATCTGCACAAACTGGTGGAATTAGCTTACACATATGGAGGTTACTCGTTCTACGACTACCATAAGTCCTTTTCTGCCAGGTCAGCCGCGTCATTGGCCCAATACAACACTCCCACCGATTGGAGTCAATTAGATACAGAATTGTTCTGTAGACATTTCGCGGGGCTTAAAACACCAGCATGTCCAATGTGTTCCTCAGCATCTCATACAGCAAACTTTTGTCCAAGTAACATAGGTGGCCAGTCTACTAGCAATGCCAGTCCAGACTATTTCCCTAATCAAAGGGAAATGAAAGACAAGTTAGGGAGACCTATAGTGTCTCTCGGGAAAGCACAAGTTTGTAACAACTTCAACGCAGGGGGGGGGGGAGGATGTAGTTACAGCGCTTGCAGATTACTACATGTTTGCTCGATCTGTTTCAGAGCACATGCAAAAACTATGTGTCCAAACAAACTGTTCCCTAAGAAAGCAATGACCCCAATAAACGTAACCAATTTACAATGTTACTTGACTGAACATCCTTCTTCTCACTTGGCGGACTTTCTGGTATCAGGTCTCACGACAGGCTTTCACACAGGTTTAGTAGCACTCCCTTCAGGCATACTAGAATGTCCCAACCTACAATCAGCTATAACAGACCCAGACAGTTTAACAGATCTTCTAAACAAAGAAGTAGAGTATGGCTTTATGATAGGACCCTTTATTACACCACCCTTCACCTCCTGGAGAACAAGTCCACTAGGTATAGCCACGGGCAAGTTTAACAATAAAAAGAGGTTAATAATCAATTTTTCAGCACCCCACTCTTCCACATCCCCAAGTTTAAATTCTCTTATACCTTCAGAAGACTTTTCACTGCAATACGCAAAAATAGACGATGCCATTCAAGCCATCGTCAACTTGGGTGAGGCAGCCTGGTTGAGCAAAACAGATATTTCAAATGCTTTCAAACTTCTCCCAGTCACTCTGGCATCTACATGGTGTTAAGTGGGAAGAAATACTATTTTGCAACCAGGCTGACCTTCGGCTCCAAAAGTAGCCCAAAAATCTTCGATATATTCACAGAAACCTTGAATTGGCTACTACTTAACAAATCCAGGTGCCCAGTAGTAATTCACTACCTCGATGATTTTTTATATATCGAGCCTAACTACTACACACCACACAGTCTAAAAAATGCACTCTCCCTATTTAAAGAATTAGGAGTCCCGGTAGCTCCAAATAAGACAGAGGGTCCCAGTACAGAAATAACTTTCCTAGGCATCACACTTAATTCCGCAAATATGCAAGCCAGCCTCCCTCAAATTAAAGTAGACAGAATTCTAACTCACATTCACAGCTGCACCAATCAAGGGTCATGTACCAGGAAAGAGTTACAGTCACTTTTGGGTTCTCTTAACTTTGCCATGAGAATTATCCCTCAAAGCAGATTTTTCATCTCTAGGCTTCTGTCTCTTCTACACGGCCTCCCTGACGACGACACTAGAATAAATCTAGACAGTCCTGCAAGGGCAGACCTAAAAATGTGGGAACTATTTTTAACAACATGGAACGGCAGGTCATTGTTCATTCCCCCCATATCAGATGAATCACCGGTTATCTGTACAGACGCAGCGGCTACCGTCGGGTACACTGCAATATTTGGGGACAAATGGGTATCAGACAGTTGGCCACCTGAAACAGTTACACTAGAGGAGTTTGACAAAACCTCTTCATTTTTTGAGATTTTCCAAATAGTAGCAGCAGCTATCATCTCAGTCCCTGCCAATCATGAATCTTGTAAGGAAAATTACATGGTTAGCAGCAAATTTGCAGTTCTATATTCGTTGTATCCATGTTCCTGGTGTCTTAAATAACGCAACTGACACTTTGTCTCGTTTTAATTTGCAGGAATTTTTCAAACTACACCCTACAGCGAACAAGCAACACATAACTCCTCCACAATTCAAAGACCTAATCATGCACTAAACCAATTACTAGCACACAGTAGAATTCTTGCACAGGCAGGTTTATCTGAAAACACAAAAAAAGCGTACGATAGGGCATTTGACCTGTTTGAAAAGTTTGTGCGTGATTTTAATATAATAAACCAATTTTCTGTAGAAACTATGGTTGCATTTTCAACTTTTTGCCACCTCTCATTAAAACTAGCCTACAATACCATCAAACTCTACTTAACAGGAATACAACATTTCATGCTAATTCTTTACCCGAACAAGTCTCCTTTTTTGCCCACATACCCAATAAAAAGTATACTAAAAAGGTATACAGAGGCAAAAATCCCATAAGACCCTCAAAAGACAGTAACATCTTTAAAGAAATCTCCAAGCTATTAGATAAAAGTCCTTTCGAAAATAACACTAACCGAGTAATTAAGGCAGCAGCATATCTAGCCTTTTTCGGATTTCTCAGACCTAAAGAATTTTCAGTGGAAAAAAATCTGACACTGAAAATGGTCTTAAACAAAAGAACTTAACCAAAGTAAATCATCATTTCATTCTATCAATACCCCGCACAAAAACAAACCAAACAGGCCCCCCAGTAGACATAAAGTACTTTCCTACCAGTTCCATATGGTGCCCAGTTCAAGTGCTAGATAATTTCATACTAAATCAACAAATTAAAAATCCAGATTTGCCTCTGTTGTCCCTACAAGGTAAACCCCTCACTACTAAACAATTCATGCTATACATCCGCGCTTTGCTTCTTAGACTAGGCCTCGATCCAAATTCCTTCACGGGACACTCATTCCGTATCGGAGCGGCCACAGCAGCCTCAAGTAGTCAAGTACCAACACATATCATAAAGAAAATGGGCCGATGGAAATCCTCAGCGTATAACCAGTACATTCCAAACCCAGAGAAAGAAATCAGACTCGCTTTCTATAATATGTCTAAATAATGGTGTTGTAATAAAAAAAATATGTTTACATACTTTTGGCCCTCTTTTTTACAGGCCTAACCTCTCGTCGGTTTCGGCAAACCTAAACCGACTCATTTATCAAAATAACACTCTATTTAAATGTACGCCCCCTTCCATAATCCCGTACACAAATTATATATATATATATATCTTGAAATAAGTCCCTAGTGGACTGAAACGTCGACACTATGTAATCAACTTTTGAAGCTTGAATATATATCACATTTTTGGCAACAGTATCAAGTCCTGTGAGTGTACTTCCAACACGGTATTTATTTATATATATATATATATATATATATATATATATTGTAGTCGGGGACATAAGCCGTGAAGTGTAAAGATTATACCAGAATATGGAAGTCGGTTGTGGTGTGCCGAAACCGACGTATGGGGTAGGCCTGTAATAAAAGAGGGCCCACCCAAGAAAGGTTATAGAGGGTTGTGGTGGGAGGGATGAACCCAGCGATTCCAGTATAGGTTTGGCTGGGGCCTGAGCTTTTATAGCCGGGTAACCCCTCCCACAATTCCAGGCTACGCCTTACTATTTGTAGTCGGGGACATAAGCCGTGAAGTGTAAAGATTATACCAGAATATGGAAGTCGGTTGTGGTGTGCCGAAACCGACGTATGGGGTAGGCCTGTAATAAAAGAGGGCAAAAAGGTTGGAGTAAACAATTCACTTTATTATGCATGATTACATAGCAAGACCTTTGAATGCAGACCTTAGTTCTATTTCTGGTTGTGGAATGTAAGTGGCATAGACCGCAGACTTCCATCGGCCTAATCTTTTAATTATGTGAGAGGGTACATTGTGACTTGAGGCTGCTGAAGCAGCTCCAATTCTGAACGAGTGACCAGAAAACCCTGTAGGGTTGAGGCCGAGTCGGATGAACAAGGTTCTGACGTACTGAATGAACTTGGCAGTTGTTAAGGGGAAACCTTGTAATGATAGTAGTGGGGCGTTTTGACTGAGACCTGAGAGAGTAGCCAAGAAAGTGTCAAATACTACAACGGGGCACCACTGATTGCCGGTGGGATAGTAGCAGATCTTGGTAGGTGGGCCTATTTGATTGGTTTTAGTGTGACCTAGGGTGAGTATGTAGTGATCTGTGTGTTTCTGGAGATTTGTAATTTTGAGGGGTTGATTTTGACACAAACCACTATTGGTGGTGAACTCGTTTGGTCGTAAAAACCCATAGAAAGCTAGGTAAGTCGCTGTCTTAATAACTAGGTTGGTATGGGTTTCAAAAGGTTTGGAGTCCAAGATATTGGAGAGTGCTCGGAACTTGGGACCGTCTATGGGAAGTCTGGCAGAGGTAGTGGGTGAGTCTAATCTCAGTATGCCTTTTAATATGTTTTTCACGGGGTAGGAAGACATGAAGGGTTTAGAACTAGGGTAGGCACTGATGATATGATGTTGTATACCTGAGAGATATAGTTTAATGGTGTTCAATGATAATTTTAGGTTAAGGTGGCAGAAAGAAATAAATGCAATAATGGAATCTAGAGAATGAGTGTCAGTTATCTGATGTTGTGTCGTGAATTTGGTGTATATGGTAAAAGCTCGATTGTATGCACGAGATGTGTTTGTGGATAGGGCTGCTCCGGCTAGATATCTGCTGTGAGATAGCAGTCTTTCTAGTCCAGGATGAGGTCTTGGAATGGAGGGGTGCTGACCGGTCTGGAGTTGGCTGTGGGGTGTGTCCTGAAGAAGACCTGTAAGTTAAATCGAGACAATGCATCAGCGGCTGTGTTGGTGTTTCCTGGAATGTGGAAGCATGTGATGTGAAACTGTAGTGTTGCCGCTAACCAAGTTAGCCTTCGGATCAATTTCATGATGGTGAGTGAGGAGGATCTACCCTTGTTGATTATGTCACAGGCTGGTTTGTTGTCGGAAAAGCATTTTACTGCTTTCCCCCGCCATAAGTGTCCCCATACTCTGGCGGCTGCAACAATCGGGTAGATCTCAAATAGGGCAGATGTAGTGGGAAATGAGGGCAAACCTAGGGTTTCTACTGGCCATGAATCTCTGAACCAGTCATTGCGATAGATAGCTGCAAACCCAGTGTGAGCTGCTGCATCGGTCCAGATGACAGGTGAGGAATCTGATAAAGGAGTGATAAACATGGCTTTTCCATTCCAATGAGTTAGGAACCGTAACCACATGAGTAGATCTGCCTTGGCGTGAGCATCTAGTGATAACGTGCTGGAGTCAGTATTGAGTAACGGGAGAAGGCACAACAATCTCGAGATGAACGCCCGGCCTTGAGGAATAATTTTCATGGCGAAGTTCAGCGTGCCCAATAAGGATTGTAGGTCTGACCTGGTACACGTGTCCTTCACCAGAAAATATTCTACCATTTCAATGATATGTTGCACCTTCTCCCGTGGTAGACTAGCCTGTAAAGTGACGGTGTCTAGGTGAATACCCAAGAACGTAAGTTTTGTGGTAGGGCCTATTGTCTTTGATGGAGACAGTGGAACCCCCAACGTTGAAAATAGGGCCAAGGTCTTCTGGAGACTAACTGGTGAGGATTGAGGTGATTCTATCGTAAGGAAGTCATCCAGGTAGTGCAGAACTGCGGGACAGTGAGTGATATTGAGGAGTAGCCAGCATAGTGTGTCAGCAAATATGTCGAATAATTTTGGGCTACTTTTAGCTCCGAAGGTAAGGCGGGTGGCAAAGTAGTAATTGTTTTCCCATTTGATGCCGTGCACATGCCACAGGGATGGGTGGATTGGTAAGAGCTTAAAAGCGTTGGAAATATCGGTTTTCCCCAACCAGGCTCCCGCACCTGCCCTAAGAATGGATTGAATGGCATTGTCTACAGAGGTATATTGCAGGGAAAACTCTTCTGAAGGTATCAATGAATTGATGCTGGGGGTGGCTAAAGAATGAGGAGCGGACAAGTCGTAAATAAGTCTTTTTTTATTATTGAACTTCCCAGTGGCGATACCTATAGGGTTGGTACGCCAGCTGGTGAACGGAGGGTGAGCGAAGGGGCCCACGATAAACCCGTTAGTCAGTTCGGTCTTGAGCAGTGACTGTGTGGAGATTGGGTCAAGGATAGCTGACTGTAAGTTGGGACATTCGAGAATACCTGTGGGAAGTGTGACTAGACCCGTGTGGAAACCCTCAGTGAAGCCTTGAATGAGGAAGTTGACTAAGTGAAGGGAAGGGTGTGCCTGGAGGTAAAATGCCAGGTTGTCGATGCTAACTTCGGTTAGTCATTGTTTTGGGTACAGACGATTGGGGCACATAGTTTTTGCATGTGCCCTGAAGCAAATTGAGCAGACGTGCAGCAGTCTGCATGAGCTAAACCCACAACTTCCTGAATTGAAGTTGTTGCAGATCTGTGCTTTCCCAAGGTATACTATGGGTCTACCCAGTTTGTCCTTCAATCCTCTGTGTTCTGCCGTGGCGGAACCGAAGGTAGCACGACTAGTGGTAGGAAGGTTAGGATCGACTGGGCACAAGTTGGTGGAGTGTGAGATGGAGGCGCACAGGGCACAGGATGGAGGTTTTTGGCCAGCGAAATGGCGGCAAAAAAGTTCTGTATCCAGGTTACTCCAGTTGGTATGAGTGTTAAATTGAGTTAGGGATGCTGCCGCCTTGGCCGAAAAGGATTTGTGATAATCATAGAAGGAAAAACCCCCATACTTATGCCCTAGGTCCACCAACTTGTGCATGTACAAGTCCAATTCCTCCCTACGGTGCGGGGATGTGGAACAGATTACGTCACGGTAGAGGCCGAAGGCAAGGACGAATTCAGGTATGGTGAGTTTCCGGTTGAGCCTGGGATCTCTGGCTTTTAGCACAACCGAAAGATCACCGTAGCAGTATGCCTTGTTTTCCACTACGTCTTGTGATGCGATCAGCAGAGATACGAGGTTTACGTCCTTGCCTTCTAGAATGTCTTTGCGTATTGTCGGGGGTACAAAGTGTGCAGGTGTGATGATGTGGGTGGATGTGCTTGGTATAGGGTTTAAGGGAGTGTCATTACCGTGAGGGAGGAGAGACGAAGTGAGGGTTGGTATGGGTGAGGTGACTGTCGTCATCTGCGGGGTTTCTAGCTTATCCAGCCTAGCGCTGATTGTGGTAATTGAGGTCAAGAGGGATGACATCAGACCCTTGATCTCGTTGTAGTTTTCCGAATGCAGAACTACTCCTGGTTGGGGAGTACACGTGTTAGATATGAAAAGTTTGTAAAGTTCGGCTTTGCGGGCTGTAGCTGGAAACGGGACCCCCATGCGACGTAATTCGGCTGCGAGCTTGGGGATGGTCCATGACCTGAGAGCGTATGGGCTGGCTGATTCTAGGTTTTCAGTGGGTGTGCTTGGGCCCGCCGGGGTTGCAGGTCTGGTTGGGGTTTCAGGTATGGCCAGCTCTTCTTCTTGGTCATGGGATTGAGACATACTAAAATTAAAAACAGGGTAAGAGACGGAGTTTGATAATGAGCGAAGTTGCCTGAGTCAACTGGTGCTAGCTATGCCCATAGGCGAAACATTAACTATTCTATAAGGAAGGTGAGGCCCTGCTAGTGCCAAGAGGCGAGAGAGGCTCTATCTATGCGGAGGGCCGGTTGGACGGGGACCACTTTAATGATGTGGCGGGAACGTTGGCCTCTCGGTGACTGTAACAAGAAAAAGGATTAAATTGGCTGTGACTGGTGAGGCCCTAACTAGTAACCAAGGGTGGTTTTCGTGAGGCTCTATCTATGCGTTGGGCCGAGGGGCGTATACCTCCGATGAGGATGGGTGTTGGCCTCCAGGAATCGTTTAATTTACAATATGTTAGCTAGGGGCCGTACTCTAAAATCACCAGTTGACCGCCCTGTTTTTTTTTTTTTTGAGTCGGGGGGAGTAATAGTGGTGCGACCGTACCTATTTGTTTGACGTACGAGATTCGACGTAGAATTTGGAGGATATTTTATTTGGAGTCTGTGGAATAAAACAGGTGGTTAAGGGCGGCTAAACTGGTCCGGGATTTGAACGTGACATTTTTTATTTTTTTTTTACCTGGTGATGCTGTTAATAATGGTGCTGTCTAGATGATAGCTTGAACGCCAGTTGGGGTAACAATCTGAGGAAAGGCTAAAGTTATCTCTTGTATTCCCTTAGATATACATACAGGCTTAAGGACAAAGTGAAGCGTAAATTATAAATCTAATACCTGCAGTAGGCTAGGGATGGGTGTCCGATGCTAGTTCCAAGTATCAGGGAAGGTGTTGAAAATAGATTTTTATAGATGAACCAGAAATGAATCCTGAGGAGATGGCGTAAGGAGTTAAGTAATGAACCTCATATGAAGAACATGGCAATGGACAGGACAACCTCTTGTATGGGGTAGATTATTTCTTACCGTATGATCAAAGACGGAATGTGTCTTTGACAGGTATGTCTGATGAGGTTCAGGTGTTGCCGTTAGACTGGGTAAGTTTTTAGAAAATACCTGTATAGGTGACGGGTAACGAATATAAGCGTAGGTAATGTTGGCAAATAAAACATGAGTGACAGAATTTATGGTATTCAGTGTATTGTCGCTTTTTTTTTTTTTTCCAAGGGAGAAGTAGGAACAGACACTATTAAAAAGCATAACATTGTGTAAAATATGTATTGCCGTCAGGGGTCGTTCTGAGCAGCCGATGTGTACCAGAAAACAGAAACATATAACATTTCAGAGAACAGAAGTATATATATGATGTAGAATTATTAAAATCTTTATTAGAACCTGTATTGAATTATTGTACTAACTCCATTTTAATCTCACACTATGACAGAATTCTCCATTTTGTTCACCTTAAATGACAGAATTTCCTGACAGTATTCAGTATAATGAATAAGAGATTGTATTTTCTCTCTCTAAGGACATAACTAGCCCCGGAGTTAGCGGATCTCCGTTGACTTGCAACATAGTATAATCCAAGGCCAGGAGAACAGCGACAAAATGAAATGTTCTATTCATAAAAGAACCTTGGAACAGACCACGAGACTGACATCACTAACTACGTAAAATGACGCCCAAGCCCCCCTTTCCACCGAGTAAGCCTCGTGCTAAAGAGCAATGGCGACGACATCCCATGATGGGAGGGTGCCTCACTAGTCACTCAAATCTCTGAGCCAATTAATAATATTAATGGGTGGACACTGACATAGCCACTTAACATTTAACCCAATTAATGATGTTTATTTGTTATTATCTGATATTCAATGATGATGTCATTTTGCATATAAAAAGGCCTGCGTGCCCGCTTTTTAACTAGATGCTAATAAATTTCCTGAAGTGTTTTTAACCTGAACTGCATGTATCAGTGTGAACTTACTTCTGCGTATACGCAATTTATTCATCTCAGATTTGGACAGGAACAGATAGACTTTTAAACATTTTTGTTTATTTCTAAATTAATCTACATCATATACAATGGTGTTTTTTTTTTTTTTTTTTCACCAGGGGGTGTAGTGAGCAGCCATGCGTATTAAAATTTTTAAGTTCAACCGGGTGGCCCGTTTACCGACCAGCGTTGGAGGGTAAGTGCCATGGGGGAGAATGTGCCTGTGGAGTGCGGTACCGAACGAAGCTCGGAGCGGTAAGGTAAGTATAACTGACAGTCCTTAGTGACAGGTGTGTAAAGTGTGAATGGACACCAGGCGTCTGGCTGAGAGTGGTGTGGATGAGACTCACGGTTCTGGGACCCTGGAGTAGGTAAGTATGTTTCCTGCTCCTGAAAACCGCCGTGGGTATGGCTGAGGAGGATGGGAGTTCGCCGGAACCGCGATAGAAAGCTGGACTGGAGCGCTTGATACCGGGCACGGAGACCGCCGGGCTTGTACCGAACTGGATTAGCAGGGGGCACTTCGACTGGAGCGGACCACGTGGGAGCGATATGCCGGTGAGTTTGAACCGGAAGTTCAAAGGTTCTGAATGAACCCAGCGATTCCAGTATAGGTTTGGCTGGGGCCTGAGCTTTTATAGCCGGGTAACCCCTCCCACAATTCCAGGCTACGCCTTACTATATACACACACACATACACATAAATACACATACACTGTCTAAGTGTATTTTAATATTAATATATATAATGATATATAAATATCAAAATATACGTAGAATGATATTGACTATATATATATATATATATATATATATATATATATATATATATATATATATATATATATATATATAATCTACATTGATCTCTCTCTCTCTCTCTCTCCGATCGAAGTGAGGTGAAGAGAGGGGCAGAGACAATGCGTCAGCCAGTGATTTAAAGTCATCGGCTGACACATTGTAACAGGGATCGCAGTGACTGGCTACATTGCGATCACAAGCTGCAGATCACCACCGATTGGCAACAGAGTTGCCAGGCAGGCCCCCCCACCACGATCTGCAGCTTGTGGGAGGGTTAAAACAACGGGGCGTGCTATGCTGCCCATGCAGCATTTAACCCATTAACACCGGGATTGCATAGCACACACTTGTAAGATGTTAAGGGGTTAAGCAAGTGTACAATATGGAAAATTATACAATAAATCAACATAGCCCAAACTTTTTTTTTTTTTTTAATGCTGAAACAAAATAACAAAAATAAAGAGTTATAGACAGTGTGCTAAATTCAACTCTGTCATTAGGAACACCCGAGAGGAGCAGGTACACTAAGAGGAAGACTCATGCTGTATATGGTTTTACAATGTTAAACAGTCCAAAACATTTAAAAATACATACCAGTATGGAGAAGAAGAGAAAGTAAAACAAGAAGGAAATAGAAACATATGCATGCATGCAAACGTTTACCCAGTCATGTCACATCTCTCTCCCGACATGTGCCCCTCCCAGGCAAAAGACACCCTATCCCGCAATGCTTAAAGCCCTCTTTGCATCTAGTAAAAGACAAGTGTGACAAAAGCAACTTCGCCACTGGTTCTTGGAGGGGCCTACTGGCCAGCCTCTTGCCTCAGGACTATAGGCCCTGCAATATACTTTGCTCTGTTCATGTGAAGTATGTACTTTGTACTCCAGACAGAGAGACCGACTGTTAGCCGTAATTCTCTGGAACAGTTTTGGGCATGGGACCATGTGCACAGTGGGTCAAAAAGACTTCCAAGGAATTTCTGAACCCCTGCTCTGATCTGGGTGATTTTTGGATTTGTTGTCACCCAGATAGGGGCTATCAGGGGATGTGATATTTATGGGGATATGTGGTGTTTTGGAACGTTTTCCAGGCATAGTAAACATGTATGTTTTTTTTCTGCTTAGAGTTAATTGAGTTAGCCCATTGTCTTCGTTAATTGTATCACAGGCAGAGGGGAGAAACTGTGTACACTGTATGGGAGTGTCTGAATGTAAACATCTGTTTTTATTGGCTTGTATGTTTTGTATTCAGTGCCCAACTAGGTCCACCTGGGCGTCCCCTTTGCTGTAAAACTTGTATAAAAGACCAGTGGTTCCATTAAACTGTCAGACATTCTTACTCTCAACTTGCAGCCTCGTCTAGTGTTGTAGGGAACTGCTATAACCACATTGGGGATTGCTCTACTCTGTATACTCCCCTGGGTTCTAATCACTTTGCCCTTTTAAGAGCTGGTCCTGTTACGCTCTCCTGGAGGAGAGGTCTCCCCCACATGGTTCTAGAGGTCAGTGGTTGATCCAGGGTGGAAGGAAGATGGCGAGATTCCAGTTAAGCTACGGCGGTTGTGGAGTCTGCGGTTGTTGTGGTGTCCGGTGCGGTGCTTATAGTCATTGTTGTCAGCTAGGAAGCATCTGTTAACGGAGGTACCGAGTAAGGGTGCCAGGAGATCTGTTACAACAAGGTGCTGGTTGGAGTCAAGGGGCTAGTACCCAGACTTGGCAGTAGAACCATAATCCATGAGCGAAAAACATGTCTAGTAAAGGAGAAAACTAGCGGGCCTGTAGAACTGAAACCTAACCTCCTATAAACAGCAATAAATTTTCTACTCCACAATGTGTCCCCCTCCCATCCAACATCCGCCACAGCGAAGGAGCATGAAAAGATGGTAATTGACTCAAGCCATGTGTCGCAAAGCGTCATGTCCCGCCACCACTTCCACCGAGAACAATGCTGTGTACTCCAGGGTTGCCCTAATCTTAGATTGGATGGAACTGTCCAAGGTGCCTTGAGTCATGATTAACCCCTGCAATGCTGCTTCAGCTTTGATTTATCTCCTGCAATTCAATTACAGCTTCAATCAAGTCTTTCTTCATTTGCCAAGTGCTGGAACTCTGGTAAGAGACTTTATTTTTCCTTAAAGACTTGTATTTCGTATGAAGGAATTGCTTTATTAACCGTTTATACTTGCATTATAGTGATTTGTGTTTTTAAAACCTTTTATGTTTTATAATTGTTTTTATTTGTTTTCAAAAGAGCATAAACAAGTATATTTCAGTGTACATTCATAAAAATTATTTCCAGAAGTTACATAATAATATAGGAGCAAGCAGGGCCGGACTGGGAAAAAAATTAGGCCCGGGCATTTTTCAATCAGAGCGGCCCCCTAAGAAAGGGGCGGGGCCAGAGAGTGTGTGTTTTGTCATCACTAATGACAACACGCCCCCTCTCAAAGTGAGCATGTTGGTTCAATGCCCAGAGCCCTGCTGAAGAGCTCTGACATTAGAAAAAGACCCTGAATTTGTTCTGCGCAGCGCAAGCAAATTTAATAACATGCTTGTGCTGTGTTTGCTTTTAAATTGTCTCTGGTGTTTCCACAAGTGGGATACCAGAGGACAAAAGGGCCAGGAAAGTGCATGGTGCATATGTTTGGAGCCTGCTTGTGGGATTGCATGTGTGTAGAGAGTGGTGTGGTATTGTATAAATAGGTCAATTTAATTTGTGTTTGTGGTGTAATATGTGTGGCTAGGGGCTGTAGAGAGTGTGTGTATAGGGGGCATAGTTTTATAGGGGATGCAGCGAGTGTGTGCATACGGGCTGAAGTGTGTGTGTATAGGTGACGTAGTGTGTGTAGGGGTTGCAGAGAGGGTGTGTTTAGAGAATGTTGTATGTGTTTGCTGACAAGGAATGTAGTGTGTGTGTAGGAGATCTACTGTGTAAAGGACCCAGTGTGTGTGTGTAGAGGATTAAGAGTGCATATAGGGTAAGGGATCTAATGTGTATCTGGAGCGTGTGTGTAGTGGTGCAGGGTGAGGGGTGCTGTAGTGTGTGTGTGTGTGTGTGTGTGTGTATGTATGTATATATATATATATATATATATATATTTTGACTTATTGTATGTGTGAGGGGCGCAGTGTGTGTATGTAAGAGGGGTGCTGTGTGTGAGGGTGTTTTATCTGCTGTCACATTCTAGGTTTCTAATTTTCTTTGTCTGTTAACTCACTGAGGGTTATTTTATATATATATGTGTGTGCTGTGTGTGAGTGAGGGTGCTGTGTGTGTCTGGGTGCTGTGTGTTTGGGTGGCGCTGTGTGTGTCTGGGTGCGCTGTGTGTGTCTGGGTGCGCTGTGTGTGTCTGGGGGTGCTGTGTGTGTCTGGGGGGTGCTGTGTGTGTCTGGGGGGTGCTATGTGTGTCTGGGTGCAGTGTGTGTCTGGGTGCGCTGTGT